TTTCAACTAAATTTGGTGGTACTACTTTATCGTCCGATTCGATTTTCGGTGATTTTACTTTTTTGTCTTTTGCATTTTCCAAATTCTCACTCGAAGGTTTTTTATCCGATTGTTTTGCAGGTACTGTTTCCGACGGAAGTTTCTCAGGTTTTTTATCCGATTGTTTTTCAGGTACTGTTTCCAACGGAAGTTTTTCAAGTACTGTTTCCGACGGAAGTTTCTCAGGTTTTTTATCCGATTGTTTTTCAGATACTGTTTCCGACGGAAGTTTCTCAGGTTTTTTATCCGATTGTTTTGCAGGTACTGTTTCTGACGGAATTTTTTCAGGTTTTTTATCCGGTTGTTTTTCAGGTACTGTTTCCGACGGAAGTTTTTCAGGTTTTTTATCCGGTTGTTTTTCAGGTACTGTTTCCAACGGAAGTTTTTTAGGTACTGTTTCCGACGGAAGTTTCTCATGTTTTTTATCCGGTTGTTTTTCAGGTACTGTTTCCGACGGGAGTTTTTCAGGTTTTTTATCCGATTGTTTTTCAGGTACTGTTTCCGACGGGAGTTTTTCAGGTTTTTTATCCGATTGTTTTTCAGGTACCGTTTCCGACGGAAGTTTCTCAGGTTTTTTATCCAATTGTTTTGCAGGTACTGTTTCCGACGGAAGTTTTTCAGGTTTCTTATCCGACGGTTTTCCTGCATCGATCGTGACATCAGATTTTTTAGTTTTCTGTTCTGTTTTTTTTTCTGGTTCTTTTAATTTTTCTTTGTTATTCAAATTATTTTTTTGTTCTTTAGGTTTTTGTATTTGCTCTACAACTTTCGTCGATTCTTTTTCTTTATTCGTTTCATCTTTTTTCTCTTTGTTTTTAACATCTAACATTTTTTCATTTGAAGTAGTTTTACATTCTTCTTTATTGTTATTTTCCGCCATTTTTTCTCTTTCGTTTATTTCTGATTTTATAAATGATTGTCTCTCTTGTTTTGGAGATTCCAAAACTTTTTCTTTTTGTTCCTGAATTTTTTCCG